ACACACACACACAGACACACGCACACACTCTCTCACACACACACACACAATCACGCGAACTCACACACACATACACACACACACATTAACACACACACATGAACTCACACGCACACACATGAACACGCACACACATGAACTCACACGCACACACATGAACACACACACGAACACACACACACACAGAGTGTATTTGGGAAAGCAGGGGGTGGAAGAAAGCAGAGACGTGTGCAGAGATCAGACAGATTCAGGAGTTTACACTGAGTGACCTGTGTAATTAGCATGATTCAACACGTGTGTGTGTGTGTGTGAGAGAGAGAGAGAGAGAGAGAGAGATAGAGAGAGAGTGAGAGAGTGTGTGTTTGTGTGTGTTTGTGTGTTTGTGTGTGTGTGTGTGTGTGTTGACGTCTTTCTCTGATGATCTCTCATCACCACAGGGCAAAAAGAAGCGAAGGAAACGAGACAAGCAGCAGGACCCTGGCACAGGTACATGTTTGTGTTTTCACATGCATTGAGTGCATTAAGAGTGAGTTCTGCACAGATCATGAGGAACATTCTTCTGTTTCACATACAAAAATATCAAAGATCAAACTGATCATTGAAACTGAATTCTGACTGGACGAGCCACGTTCCGATCGCACACCTGTGACGCAACACTAGTGCATTATATCACTCAGCAGAAGAATTAGAAACAGTTATTTCTAATAAATGCTGATAATGCAGATATTCATTGAACTCTGGTGTCTTCTCATCAAGCTGCTGATGCAGCCCAGCCGTCACAATGAGATTATTCTGCTGAAACAGACTGTCAACTTTTGATTAACATGTATGTAAACTAAAATTATTCTATATGTTTCTTATGTACCAGGGTTATTATCGTTAACTAAAACTAACTGAAATAAACCTGCAAGACAATAAAATAATAATGATACTTAAATAGCGCTGGTGTGAGGGGATTAAGAGATGCACACAAGTCTAGTTCAAATGAGTAACTTCTGGAAGAGATAGCAGAGGTGCTGGACAAGGATGAAACGCTCCAGTGTGCATGATGGCTAATAAATGGTGCGTGCTTTGAAAGACTGCATGTTCAGCTGTGCACATCTGTGTAATATATACTGCAGCGTACACTTTCACTCAGAAATTGCTGGTTAATTTCACAAAAAAGTATGAAGTAACAACACTGAAATAAACATGACATCTTGAAGTAGAAAGACCTGAAATAGTTTTGTTTTTTGTAAAACAATAATAATAACAACAATTTTTGTATGGAAGCTCGTTTCCGCCATGGGATAAAAAATAAAAATGGTAATTGCAACTTTTTGTCTAAAAATTCTGACTTGTTTGTATCTCACAATTTAGACTTTTTAGAATTGCAAGAAAAAGCCAGAAATCTATATACTTCTGAGTTTATCCCTCAAAAGTCAGAGTTTGTATAATTCAATTCTGACCTTTTTCCCTCAAAATTCTGAGTTTATATATCATAATTCTAACTTTTTTCATCAAAATTCAGAGTTTTTATCTCACCATTCAGACTTTTTTTCCCCTCAAAATTCAGTTTAACTCACAATTCAGTTTTTTCCCCCTCAAAATTCCAAGTTTTTCACAATTCTGTTTTTTCCCCCTCAAAATTCCAAGTTTTTCACAATTCTGTTTTTCCCC